CTAATACTGGGCATCTGTGTGGCTGTGGCTCTTTCAGCCACAGTTAGAAGGAGAATTTATGAAGAAGAAAGTAATGATGGTGTATCAGTTCAACTTGAATCAACAGTGGCTGAATAAAGCGCCATCTGCTGGTTAAAATGGGCACCATCATAGCTCCCTTTGCCTAAAAGTTCTATGCACCACAGTCTGTTCTTTCTTTGTTCTGTCACCACTTCTAAACTTTCATTTTGTCATTTTAAATGTCGTTGTTGTGTGTGTGGAACAGTCCATGGTGCCATGTTCTCAGGGTGTTACATTCATATACCATGTCAGACCAACACAAAGCCATTTACATCTCTGTACGTGAGGTACTTGCGTGTTGTTCGGTGCTGTCAGTGTTCACTTCCTGTTGGCGAACAGTGAGCCTCCTGGTGACTGTGGTCAAAAGGTTAAAAGGTATACTATGCAGGATTTCCCTAAAAAACAATGTGTTTAGAAAAGTAATCCCTCTCAATCATCACTAATGACCCACTACAAGTGTGTGGCGGTGTGTGGATCTGCGGAGATCCTAACTGCTGCCTATGTATTCTTATTTTCCTCTTATTTTGCTGTGTTCAAGACGTTTTTGGGCACAGTGTACAGGTGAGGTCGGGACTTAACTAAAAAGTAGTACCCAGGGGCCGCATACACAAAGCTTACTAATATGAAGAGTTCTTAAAATTGTGACGTTTTCTAAGAATTTCCCCTTAAAGTTAAGACAGAGTCCTGGTAAAGATGTTATTCACAAAGCATCCCAGTCCTTAGGAGAGCTCCTAAGGTGAAAAACTGTTCAGAGTAGGTAGGAGGACTTCAAAGAGGCTTGAGAGTTTTTAAGTAGAGGAGAAAATGACAGGAAGACAAAGAGGTAGGAGAAATATTCCGCAAACGCTGGATGACAGTGAGATAATGAAACACTACAGATCAGATCGTGCAGGGAGAATGTTTGTGGTCAGTCTCATTAGAAATGCGCTCACATCTCTCACTCAACCTTATAACACTACAAAGCCAGGAACAAAGTCATGACAAAGATATGTAAAACATTGCATTAGCAATGACTTGGGTCTGTCTCAACCTTCAGTCAGCAGAGTGTTCACACTCACAATGACAGCACCCTCGGTGTCATATTGTGACGCAGTTCATTTCAATTCCACTGGGCGTCCACACCTTGCAGGCTCGCAAAAGGACAACCAATCACATCTTTTAATAGAATGTGTTGTACGTAGCAACAGGGTTAACCACCCCAGAGAAAAAATTTGCTGCTCACAATAGTGTGTTCTTTGTCTCACCAGAAATAAATCTGCTTCTTATTTGGAGGTTACTAAATTGTTTCTCCTGAACCTCACTCAGGAGACACAAGGAGCAGAAGAATAACTTAGCCAGACTACTTCTGCTGCTCACAGGCTTCTCAGAGGTTTCTATACTCTGAGAACAGATACACAGATTTGAGACTTGAATGTGATCACTGAGACAGATTTTTATAAGCCAATCAAGTTTTCTTCTTTGTCTTACCGTTATCTCAAGAGCTGATTATTTCAGACAAATGAAAATTACTGCAGTGAGAGAAGATCCTACACTGAGATCGGACTGAGACAAGAGGAAGGCTATGTCAGGAGCTGAATTTAAGAAGTATGAAAAAATGGTCCGAGTCTCATATTGATGTTATACTGAGCTCAGTTATGTGTAGGGGGAATAGGCTGGACAAAGTTGAGATCTTATTTTGAATCTTCCTTTCCTCACTAAAAGTTTCCATCATTTCCTTGCTCAGAGTTGCTCTGAGAAGTTTCCCAACTCATTCCCAAGCAAGGACTCCTTGCTAGAATTTTTTTTGGCTGAGTTAGGAGTTCTCGGAGAGTATTCTTAGAATGTTTGTGAATACGGCCCCCGGTGCCAGACCTTAAGCAGCATGCATCCAAGAAACAGCTACGAAAATTACGGACACAGAGCCAGACCCCCCCCCCCCCCCGCAAATATAGCATGGCAAAACATCAAACAGACAAAGCTCATTCCAAAAAGAGATTGAATCTGGGGTTGGCTTCCACTTTCAGTTTCGTGGGTGATACTGTTTACAAACAAGTTACGGACATTTCCTGCGTAGTATACCTTTAAAATCTTCATTTGTCAGCTTATAAGCTAACTGATAGAAAATACTGTGGAATAAGCTTTTCAGTAGCTCAAACAGCCACTAATTAAAATGAAAACGAGACGCTGGCTACGCTTGGACTCTGTCAAATATAATACATAGTTTTCTGAGGTATGATTCAGTTTGTCAAGGGTTTTTTTTTTTGTTTTTGTTTTTTTTTTTTTAAATTTTGGGAACGTGCATATCAGTTATGACCAGGCAGAGAAGGTCGGGGGTGATTTCAAAAATGCCTCATTTATGAGACAACGCGCAGTTTTTGCACACCACCAAACTCGATGGCATCTAGTGAATGAGAGAAATAAAAGAAAACCGTGAACATTTTTATTTCTTTGTTTCAAAAAGACATTTAAAAAATAATAGATCAGCAAAGGAGCAAAGACTAAACAGAAGTTTCAAATGCTCAAACTTTTCTTACTGTGATGTTTAATTTTGTCTGTGTATACAAGTGTGTATAGTCCTCTCTGATTTCCTTTATCATACAGCTCAAAAAATACACATCAGAAAGAAGTAACTTGTTCATATTAAGTGGGTACAAAGTGAAATATGGGACCTTAAAGTGCTCTTTTGTTTGGAAGATCTCAGTGATTGTTCGAATGGTCTAAACAAGGTCTCATTGTAAAACAAAAACAACAAAAACAAAAAAAAAAGTAAGAAAAATACTCTTTATTATTGCCATTAAATGCTGTATTACAGTGACCAGCATATATATATATATATATCTTGTATGTTTGTGTGTTGTTGTCCATGTAAATAGCAGTATGTTACTCCTATGTTTGCCCTTGAAAAACACAGACTGAAAAGAGAAAATAGCAAATGGAGAGAAAGTATTTTGTTATTTGTCCTTCGGGAGACACACTATGTATATACCTTCAGTATATTGTAAATAAGTGATAAAAAAAAAATTGGCGTTTTGTGTGTTATAAATAATCTGTGTATGGCGGTTCAACAGTTAAAATCTGTTTCAGTGTTTATTAAAATGTCATTGACCATTTTTACTGCGCTAACACATCTGCTGTCGTTATTTCATCAGCATGTTTGACTTAATGGTCTGAAAGGAACACTTCACCCACAAAATGACCATTTGTAAATCAATCGGTCATGCCGTCTTACCTCGAACTCGTGAGGAAAATTGTGTTTTTCTGATATGCCACCATGGCTAATGGTGGTCATATTGATACATTGATTGATTTGGGAGCATGTTTAACAGCAAAACTTTATCAAAACATCTGTTTTAAAACTCTCACACAACTCGTGCAGACAAATCAAAGTCTCAGTACTTCCCAAACACATGTGTTTTCACTAAAACTGAACTCAAAGTGAAACTTATATGTGCTTCTTTCAAAGCCAGATACTTCAAACTAAGTTTTTTTTTTAATGGAAAAATCATTTGTGTGGGAAGTACTGAGCATACAGCTGGATAAAGTTGTATGACAGTTTGTAAATGGATGTTTTGATGTAGTTTTACTGTTGTTAAACATGGTCCCCAATCAATCAATAAATCAATATGTTCACTGTTTTCCATGGAGGCATGTGAGAAAAACAAAGATTTCCTCACAAAGTATAGATAAGTTTCACTTGGAGTTCAGTTTTAGTAAAAATGCATGTGTTTGGGAAGTAATGAGGATACAACTGGATAAATGAGACTTGGATTTTACTGCACAAGTAGTGTGAGAGTGTGTTTACTGATGTTTTGATATAATTTTGCTATCAAATGTGGACCCCAATTAGTCAATAAATCAATATGTTTTCAGATCACAGTGGAGGCATGAGAGAAAAACAAAGTTTTCTTCACAAATTCAAAGTAACACAACATGACTAACTGATATACAAATGATCATTTGTGTGTGAAGACTTTCTTTAAAGAAACTATAAATTACGGTGGACAAGTCAATAAGGTGCCATACATGAAATCTGATACACTGCTTCAGTCTTTTGGAGCTTGTAAAAATTAGTATCAGATACTTAAGGGAAAATGAAACTCAAAGAACAGAGAGAGACTTAATTTTTGGCTATTGAGACCTTTTCCACATTTGGCTTCATGCTGCTTTGACCCTCATAGCTTGTTGTCCAACAGGTGTCAGCCTAGTGCCAAGCAACAGTTTGTTTGCCCACCATCTGCATGTAAACTCAGCAGACCACCCATGCTTGTCTGTGTGAAAGTCACACAATGTTCTAACTGTATTTACGGCTTCTTTTCATTGGGAAAACCTGTTTAAAAAGCAGCTCTCTCCTGCTACTGTCTGACGGCCACAGATGTACGCTTCCGCTTTTCTTTCTGAGAACAAGGTTGATGATTTTAAAGATCAATACAGATGCTTGTTTCACTGAGTGTTTGCTTACTGTTAAAGATTGTAATCTAGTGAAGCTGTGTTTTGTTGCAGACACTTTCTTGGCTCCAAACTCGGTGATTAAGGATTATTTGAGACTGCTCAAAGCTCTGTTTACATCTCACTCCATTCATTCAGGAAACATTTAAAAGCCTGTTGCTTTAGCTTTCTAATTGTCTGAGCTGGCCCATTACAGTTTGAAGTGCCTGTTTTGTCTTGATAAATAAGTCAATGTTCTGTTTATTGGTGTTTCCAAGTATAAGTGTGTGCGCTGCTGATATAGCAGGGCTAGCGAACAGGAGGGCTGGCTGTGCAATATCAGCAGCACGCACACACACTCACACATGCAAACGCACACTTGGTGTGTACGAGGGCTGGCTGCACACCAAGACAAGAGCGCGTCCTACACGGGGCTGGACCACGAGGGCTGAAACCACCTTACTGCCCCAATCCGGACTCCCTCCCTCCCAACCCAACCTGCCCCTTGCTCCTCAACCCGCCCAGCCCACCACCAGTACCAGCACCCCTCCTCCACTCTCTGCTCAGTCACACTCTCTTTTCTCTCTCCTGCTGTGTGCCAGTCCCTCTCTCTCCCCCCCTCCACTTCCTCAAAGTGGCCACAGCTCCTCTCTTTTCTCTTGTCCTCTTTACATCCCTCCACCACTCTCTTTCTTCCTCCAGCTGTGTGAGCGACCAGCCCCGGCTCTGACCATTCCTCTTCACCTCCACAAGTTGAACGGAGCTCAAACTTCCCCTGAAGACTTAATTTTCATCATTGACCTTTTTTTTCCTGGTCCTTCACCCTTCCCCTCTGGAGAGGCTTGGTTGGTGTGTGCCTGGCGTGTGTGCAGCAGCGTGTGCAAGGGCTCTGGTGTCGTGCTCTTTGCCCTGAGGGAGTCCCTAAAGGTTGTGACTGACGGAGAAAAGTTATCACCAAGATGAATGTTCAGCTGCTGCTCCTGGTGGCCCTGGCTGGCCCTTTCTGTGCCTTTACACATGCAAGTAAGTGAACTCTCTGCTATCAGCGTCCTGCCGTTAGCACACTGTGTCCCCTCGCTCCCTCTTCCTCCATGTGCCCACCCCACACCTCTCTTTGTCTGTTATAATCCCTGTTGATTCAACAATAACACTCTGGATGCTGGTTTCAGAAGATAAACTCAATTGTAATGTATGTAACTACTCAATGAAGTGCTTATGTTTGAATCATTTCAAAGACTTCATATTTTTTATATATGCATCACTGAAAACTGCTCCCAACAACTGCTGGCTGCCGTCTGGCCCATATGTTCCACTGTAGCAGAGAATCACCCTGATGGAAAAGCAAAACTTTGTTCTATGGTGTTAATGTTACAGAGAGGGGGTAACTCAAATGAATGGTCTGTGTTGATTTTAACATCTGAACTCCCTCTGTCTCGCTTGCTCTCTCATTTTCCCACAACTCTTGAGGTCTGGAGGAAAAGTTTGATTTGCAGACACGGAGGGGAAATGTGATGTAATAGCAGGAGCTCTGCTGCCTCGTGTCTGTAAATTCTTGGCAATGGCAAAAAGAAAGGAATATCCTTTGGAACGCTCCCAAAACAGTGCTCATACACAGCGAGGGAGAGACGGGGGCCGCAAACTGTAACATACACCGTACACATTTATCTGAAAGCTTATCCACTGTCTCCCTCTCACTTTACTCCTGATTCTCTCGTTTCTCCTTCACTGCAGCTACTTTCATCCTCTGATTTTCCCTCTTGCCTCTATTTCTCCCTGTTTGTATGTTTTCTCTTTCTCTCTGCTTCCTTTCTTTGCCTTGACCAGCAGTGTTTGCCCAGGGGCAGCAGCAAGCACAGGGGGTGTGGCTGGGGCCTGAGGGAACTGTAGGGCAGGGCAGGGCTGGTTTGCGTGCGTGTATTAATAGAGAGAGGCTCTATATTTAAGAGGGTCATATGGATGAGAGAAGAGCAAGAGACGGGAAGAGAGAGAACACCCGGTATGTGATGAGCTTTAAGAGGCGCCCCACCCTCTTTTACTCGCATGTTGTTAGACCATGCAGCACGCCGCCCCTTGGCATTTACCCATCTTTGGTGGGGTATCAAGCTTTACCGTTTAAACCCCCCTCCCCTCTCCCTGCTCCCCCGTCTCTTAACAGTCCTTTGCCTTCCTCCAACTCTATGCCCCCTTCCCATGTTCCAGCCTGATGAGTCTGGACCCCGGGTGACAGGGTTGGTATAGGCACAGGGGGAGCAGAGAGGGGCTACGTCTATTTTTAAACAACAACCTTTCCCAGTCGGAGACGACGTGCCTGCCCCATTTCCATGGAGGTTTACTCTGAAAAAAAAAGCCCTTAAACTCTGGGAATGATTCTTAGCCCAGCCGCCTAGGTTTTCCAAAGAAAACGGGAAACAAAGAAAATAGCTCATTCCACATCTATGCTCCACAAATGGGGGCTTTTAACTCCCTCGCGCCTGCTCACTTAACTAGCAAACCCCATGTATCCTGTAAAACCCTCACACCGCTGCCCCCCCTCCCTCTGGTCTCCGTCTTAATGAGTTTTGTCTGCCTCTGCGGGCCTATAACATCCCCGTCACATCTGGCTGCCGAAGGGAGAGGTCAGTGCCCTTTGTCCGTGCCCACTTCTAGAAGTGACTCAAATGTTGCGTTCATGCTCCAAATATGAGACACATGCTGGTAAAGAGGGACCATGAGGAAAGGAGTACTTCTCACGTCAACTGAGTCTCACTTTCAGAAAATAAAAAAAAGCTCAGTCATACTTTTTACTTTTTTTCTCAGACATAAATTTTCCACAAGGAGAAAGAAACATCTGTTTATGGAAAGGAGTCTGAGGCCGTTTTAGCCGGGACCAAACCCAAGCCCTGATGACTCCAGACTATAGCAGGGCTTATGGCCCAAACCTCCCTGTGGACTTTTTTTCTGTGTGTCTCCTCTGTGAGGACTGACACAAATGTCTCATATCTCTAGCACCTACGTGTGCTGCAGGGTGAGACATGGTGCAAGAGAAAGCAAGAAAAAAAAATGGAGCTGCTGACTAAGGAACACTTACACAACTGGGTGGGTGTTTTATGATGTGGGAGTTGGACTTGAAGGTTAGCGAGATTAGAAATACATTAAGAGGCTTGTTTGATTGAATTCTAAGTCTGGGGTGTTAAGTTTAGTTTGTAAGAGAAGGAGAGTTGGAAGGCGGAGAGTGATGCCACAGCATGATCTGTTTATTTTGCCATTTCTACTGTGGTTGCATTTAATGTCAGTCCCACCCTGATCCATTACATTTTAGGAATTTAATCAGACCTGTTAGGCCTAAGATTAAAGGCCCCATTTGATCTCGCTGTGGACCAGTTTCTGCTCCTGGCGATAGCGTCCACATGGGACCTGCTGCATGTCCTCCTATCTAAGTCAGAAAAGGAGGGCGAAAAATCAGTTCCTGTATGTGTGGACGCTCATTGTGTTGTGTCTATGATAAGACTGGCTGAGAATATTCCACTCCAGTCTGTCTCCTGCTTAAAATCCCTAGTGTGCAGTGCATGGCACACCCCAGTATCTCTGCAGCTGACTCCTACTGGTTGAGTGGGGGAGGTTGTGCTGTGCGGCATCTCGTCAAAGCTCGTTGAGTTGGGCAGGGCGCCTATCTCCCTCACATTTCCCTCCTCCAGCGCCGCAAAAACATTCCTGGGCTCCAAAGGTGGACACACTCCCTCACACCGTCTGCACAGACCCTCCTACACAGGACTGTGAATTAGAAGCTCTCTCACACACACACGAACGTGGGGCCCTCAGTGACAGCTGATTGTGATCGTAATGGATGGAAGCTGCTACTCCCTCTTTTCCTGTCTCACACTGTATATTGTTGTGTCCCTCCTTCACTCTTTCACTCGCTCTGGAGGTTTTATTTATCCCAGGCAGGAGTGAAGCACCACAAGGATGCCTCCAACTCTTCCTCACAGCTTTTTGCTGTATTCCTGTCCTCTTAATTCCAGCTCTTTTTACCTGTTTTTTACACTCCACCACCCTGTACATCCCATCACTAAAACTGATTGGAGGGAAATTTTGAAGTCATTCACAGTCACACTTCATTGCACCTCCAGAAATCTTTCACGGGGGGCCAGATGAAGCCTTTCTTGCCGTAGCACACCAAAACCAAAATCCATAACTTAATTCCAGGAATTTGTTTATGCTGTAGAAATATAGGCTAGTCAAAAACTATATCAGTATGAGAGTTAAGGAATCACATACTGATATACTGTGGTGTCATACTTTCCAGTTAATATTACTAATTATCTGATGTGCACAGACTAATACCAACACAGTTAACATTTAGAATTCCACAATAATCCTGTTTTATGTGCATGTGAGAGCATTGATTGTTAGCCACCAAACATTTACTGGGAACAAGCTTTCTCGTGTTTAGAGGAGACTCTTGGGTACCCATAAAACGTGTTTTCATTCAGATATCTTGATTTGAGAGTACAAAAGTCTCATGCCCATGCCAGTTGTTCCCTCGCCAATATTTAGCCTAACTTTGGAGCATTATTTAGCCCCTTTCCCGACAAGCTATGTTGTAATGGTTGGTAGCAGTGGCTGCCCTAGGTTGTACAGTTTCACAAGATACCACTACCTTTGTACTAGCTTTAAAAATGAGTGTGCCACAGCCTCTTGAATACAATATTATCAGCAATCAGCAATCCAATTATTTTTGCCAGCGGGGGTCCAGCAATTACATCAGGAGGGGCCATGGCCACCCCCGCCCCCCCTGGGGACGCTACTTGTCACAATTACCCCATTATTATTTAAATTACATTCTGAAGCCTGCTTTTACAGATAGCGTCATCTCCAGATGTTTTCTGCATGTACTTACCTGGTCTTAACATTTACACAATGAGTCAGAAAGTAAGAAAATATGTTTTGTAGTTTTGGTGAATCAACCCTTTAATGCCCAGTCAGCGGCTGAGGCAGCCACAGGTTTACTCAGACACATACAGACATAAACACATGCTGTATGAGCTCAGCGGCACTGGCAGTATGATTTCAGGCTGTTTCATGCTTCACATGGAAATGGATGTGAGAGAGCATGTGTGGTCAAAATGATGTAATGGTGGGTAAAATGACCTGAGTGCACCACCGAACATTTGGAATAATAAGGACAACGCCGCAGTTACGTAAACCTGTCTCAGTCTAGGACTCAGAGAATGAAAAAGAAATTTGAACTGCTTCCAGTTTCTTTGTATTTTTATTTGCTGAGGGGATCTGAGTTTCTTCACAATGGCCCTAAAGTCCTGAGGTTTTACATGGTGCTCACATATCTAGAGATATCTTTGACTGGTTGACTCAAACCCCCATGTTGGCTGAAATCCTTACCAGCTTCAGGGGTCCTGAACCTGTGCTCGGACCCCTGTGAGGATTAACAGAGGGTCGCTTACATACATGCTAACCACTTCACACATGGCACACATCTTGCTGTGAGCAAAGACAACAGACCATGTTCACAATGAAATCAAGAGGCAGAAGGGACTCGGGGCTTTTCTCTCAGAGCTCCCCTCCGCCCTTCTGCCCTCCCTTTCTTTCTCTCCAGGGATTCAGCCTTCTCAAAGGTTTCAGCAGCAACAAACCTATCCTTAGGGAGTGGCAGGGTCATGGAGAGGAAGACGGGCAAGAAGTGGATTAAAAGAAAAAGAGAGTAGAGGGGATGTAGACCACAACAGTCTTACTGCGTTACTCACTAATGCAGCTGTATTAACCCGGGATAGTCAGCACAGTGGGGAGGAAACACTACTCAGAGCTAATTGTGGGAACTGTACACATAATGAAACAATTGTTAGAGGGGGTTGAGGGGGCTATTACACATAGCGTACAGCCATACTCTGTGAAGCGCAGACCATTTTATCATCACTTACAGACTTTCCAAACAAACAGTCTGAGTCGTCTTTAGAAAAAGAAAAAAAAAAGCTCCCTTCAGTACCCTGCCGCAGTGGGAACAAATGTTTTGTTATATTTATCCCGCCTGTTGCTAATGAACTCGCTAGCCAACACAGGAATAACTACACCGGTTGTTCGACCATTCAGTTATTTTTACCCTTGTAAAGTATTCTCTATTATTGCAAGTATTTAGAACAATTGGAGAGAAAACGGAGATGGAGAGAGCATGATGTCAGACGCTAAGTTTAGAAGACTCACATCGTTTCTGGTCTCTGCAGCAAGAATGTTTTCAGGGAGAAGTAGTTTTAGCTTCTTTTTTTTTAAGCAAAGAGGAGATTTCGGGCCAACATCGTGTCAGTGGAAAGTTAACTCTAGACCGTAATTTTGGTGCCATACTGAAATCTACCTCCTTAATTTTGAAGCAGCGCTGTCCAGGCTAAGCTTTTAGTTGTGGCTGAACGTGGGGAGATGGAGCTAGGGTTATTGGAGGGAAATGATTAGGTTGAACCCAGGCCGCTTCATAGTCCAGACCTTGATGATAGACACAAGGATAAATACATGTCGTTTTGCAGATGGTAAATACAACATGTGAGCCTCCATTTTGCTGCAAACACAGAAGGTAAACTTGATTTTTATCATTCACAGAAGTCAAGATCGATGATGTATGATGATTACACACATCTCTATTAATAGGAGAGAAAGACAAAAGCTGAAGATGCTTTCAAAATGTATGCCTGACATTTATTTAAGGTGTCCAGTCCGCCATTTCCTCAAACCTCCCTGAGTCTCTCTGAAACTGCAAATCATCCAGTCGTGGCATCTCTCATCACACGATCAGGCGTTGTCCCTGCAACCCCACCCTTTACGTGTTAAGTGGCTGAGAGTTAACAAAGCCTTCCCGCGCTCGTCTCACAGGCAGCTCACTCCACAGGAAATGAGGCAGAGGATGTGGCATGCCAGCACGCAAGCACAGAGCCTTAAACACAGGATGGAGGGGTGGAGGGGGGTGGCATGTACATTTTATGAAGTCACAGGGTGTGGTGGTCATGCTGTCACGTTAGCCATGTGCCAGCGATGAGAGAAGTGTTAATGAAATGAGTGTGAGAAAGAGGAAAGGTCATGTCATCTCGTCAGGGAGGAATCTAAACATTTATCTTGTCCTTTTTGACCTTCTTTGTACCCGTTCTGACAGACTGGGGGCTTTTTCTGTGTCAGCTGCCAGTCTAGACTTTATATAACTGGCCAAAAGGCTGACAAATGTTTAGGCATACTCTACTGAGTCACACACACATATCAGGAAAGGGCAATCATTTGATATTCAATGTTTTCATCCCTTTTATGTTACACATCATGATAAAGTTTACAGTTGTCTTGTCTTGAATTCAGTCTCCACTGTGTAGGATTCAGGGAGACATATTGGTAGAAATATAATATACTTAGTATGTTTTCATTACAGTATAATCACCTGGAAATAAGGATCGTTGTGTTCTTGTTACCTAAGAATGAGCCGATTTTATTTACATAGCGAGCAGGTCCTCATCCACCAAGTCTACTATGCGGCACCGCCATGTTTCTACAGTAGCTCAGAACAGACAAACCAAACACTGACTCCAAAAAGGGTCATTCACATTTTGGCATTTTCGGTTTGGCCACTGTAATTAGCAAACTGCTTTACTGAGTGTTTTTACCAGTGTGTTTTACCACCTCTGCGGATAATTTTGGGTCCCAATGAAAACCTCCTGAACACCTGGATCTTAAGTTATCTGAGAAAAAAGGTGAGCACAGATTAGCAGTTGCTTGGCTAGTGGCCCATCTCTGACAAGCAGAACAGCGTGAGAGAAACTGGTTTGTAACGTGAGACTGCTTTGTTCAGTTTGCCAGTTTTAATCACCTGGTCTGTTTGTTTTGGTGAGGAAGAGACCTCTGAGGATAATTCGGCTCCTGGTGAAAAAGAACTTCCTGCACAATGAACACTGAAGGAATTCTAATCAGGAAATATTTCAGCTGGTTGCAATTTGCAGTCCTCCCCTCTAGATGGCACTAAACGCCCCTAAATCTTATACACTGGACCTTTAACTATAACAAGTTACATTTTAATAATAATAATAAATAATTTTATGTGTCAAACCGGAACATTTTTGACAGATTTCAGGATTTTGACTTTTTAAATTGTGGGTTTTAGTAAAGATTATATACATATGTTATTATATCTGAGTCTCTCTAGGCTTCTCATGATTTGATTCTAATTCAGAGAGCTACCATACAATTACAAACTGATTATTGATACATCTTAATGCATCGTTTTTTATTTCAATACATGAATTATTTTTCTCATTGTGTGATTACTTTTAAAACATAATGTATTTGTAATAAATTAATTCACTTCTATTATCTTTTACTAAAGGTCGAGTGCGTGGGATTTAGTGGCATATAGCATTAAGGTTGCAGAGCTAAAACTTCTCCCATGTCCCATGTGTGTAGGAGAACTAGGCTGGCTGATTTGAAAATGTGAATGTCCCTATCTAGAGCCAGTGTTTGATGTGTCCGTTCTGGGCTATTGCAGATCAACATGGCAGACTCTGCAGAAGAGGCGAATTTGCATTTCCTAGAAAAGCAAAGGCATGACCTGCCCTACTCTGCCTTATTTTCCCTCTGATTATCTTACACTGACATTTACGTCCTAACCCCAACTCCTCTCGCCTTACCCTAACCAAACCAAACAAGGAAGGCAACAACTACTAGCCAATTAGAGAGACAGAAGGGCGGGTCAAGCTTAAATTTGCAAAGGGGAGGACCCACCCCATATGTAGATATAAGCGGCTCATTTTAAGGTAACAAAAACACGTTGATTTTTATTTACAGATGACTCTAAACTAATTAAAACATAGTTATGCATATTACATACCATCTCTGCCAATAGATGCCCCTAAATCCAACACACCGGACCTTTAATGCAGTAGTTGTAACAAATTGAAGAATGTAAACATGATGCAGTTACATTTTACCATCCAGCTGGTTCTGAACACACAGCCCTGTCTTAGGAAATTGCTACAGTTGATCATAATGTGGAGAATTGGGTTTTGAATTTCCAGTTATTGACTTTTCTGGATCGAGACATAATCTTTCAAGATCGCAATGATATGACAGAAACCATATTCATGTATACAATTACAACAGCCCCACAGCCACAGCAACAGATTGTAATCTCACACTAATACCTGCATGTGCACCCATCTGTGCCCTCTCTCTGCAGGCCCCACAGAGCTCCCTTCAGAACTTGATGTTACAGCTGCACCAGCCATCACCACTGAGGCTAACGAGGGTACCATAGAGAATCTTAGTGTTAACACTGATCCACCTGCAACCAAATCAGCGGCGGCCCCTGAAGTGCATACAGCAGAAGTTATAACCGCGGCAGCACCTGTTACTGAAGTCAATACCGAAGCGGCTGTCGTTGAGACGGAAGCCCCTCCTGCTGCTACGGAGGGACCGGAACCCTTTATCACTGACCAGCCTGTGGTGGCGACATTAGCCCCCACTGTGGCAGCAAAAGTTGATAACAAATCTGAGGCAACAGCAGCCGCAAAGACAGAGGCAGATGACGAGGTAGTCGTTGAAGACGAGCCAGACGGTAAGGAACATGTGGGATGGAAGCTGGGGTAGTGTAGGCCTAAAGGTGCTTTGTTATTGACTGATATACTATAGACAATCGACTGTCAGCCTAATGTGTAGGTGAGTGTGCCATACAGGGATTAAAAGTCACATGCAGTCATCAGTTTATTAATTTAATTACAAAGAGACACCATTTGATTCATTCTAAGTGTTAAAATTACACATGAAACCTAAAATGCTTTCACCGTTCTACATGTAATACTGTATGAAAATGATTGAACTCACCCCTCTAGCGTTTCATTAACACCTTCACATCTGTCTATGTGCATTATGTTAACTCACATTATTTTATATTATTGCACAATTCTGCACAAACTATACTTCCACAAGCTGCACAGCTACTTAAGATATATTGAACATAAATTTATAGTGTTTTGTCCTATTTTAAATGTACTTTTATTCTATTCTATATTCATGTTTCTTGATTTATGCAAGACTTGCTTTTATTTTTCATTTTTATAAGTTTATGTTATGCACCAATACACCAAAGCAAATTCATTGTATGTGGAAACCTGCTTGGCAATAAACTGGATTGTGAGTCTGAAAACTGGTGATATCAAAGGCAAACTGAAGTCTGAACACTGGACTAAGTGTTGTCTTTCTGTCCCACAGAAGGCCTGAGTTCTGGCCAGGTAGTCGGCATTGTGATTGGCGCTCTGTTGGCAGTGGTCATCGTCATCGCTGTGGTGATTGCTGTTGTGAGGAGGATGGGAAAATACTCGTAAGTACCTCATCTCCGATGCTGGACACACACACGCATACAGCTTGAATCCATGTGAATCCATGAAGTTACAATGATGTGCCGTGAGTCATCACTTCTGGCTTCCTCTAAATATGGAGCGAAAGAGCAGCATGAGCTTTTAGTCATCACTGACACATGCTATGATGAAATAACACAGGCAGTGATGTAATGGATGTTGGAGAGAGAGCTGTTCTGTGTGATAAGATGATAAGATGACCTGGCATGCCCGACACAAACTGCGTAGCATTTCGACCATAATTGGTCTCCGCTGTTGAGCATATTCGACCATCAACCCTCCTTCATGAAGAGTAATAGAGGTCCCATCCAAGTGACAGCGTTCCCACGAACCACACACTCCCCTATGAGAATGCTGTAGTGAGCTGCATGTCTTGCTAATGATGAATGTTTCTTGTGTCACAGGTCTGCCAAGAACAAAAAACCTACGAAAAAAGACGTTATGGTTTCTGTAAATTTCTCTCTTTGAGTCCTTCCACTAATCCCTGTAACCCCTTCAAGACCATTATGATCCTATTTTAACAGATGTGCCCCCCCACCCTCCCACAAAAAAGGAAAAAACACCAACAGAGTTTGATACTTGTTGCCGCTTTTGCTGACACACAGTCCCATGGCCCACGGAGGAAAATTGGGCATTCATGGTGACAAGTGGCTCTATGCATTAGGCCTTAAAATGAGCCTGTGTATTGACTCAGTGTCTGTCTATGTGGCCAGCAGTCATCAAGCAGGCTGGTTTTATACTGACAGCTTGATTTGATCTCATAAAACAGAGGGCTTGTGTTTGTCTGAAGTGGGGCAGCAATACAAAGTCATCAACTTCTGTTTGGTTTTTGTCTCAGGAACTAATTAATCAGTCTTTCTATAATTGTTGGTCTGTTTTAAAATATTTATTTCACAGTTTATTGTCTAAGATCTTTGCTGACTGAAGCTACATGTAGTCCAGGGCTGCACAACGATGTGTTTTTAATCATCAACGCATTTTAAACACACCACAAAAGACAGATATTTTGCACTGAGGAATCGTTTGAGTTACTTAAAAAGAATATCAGTAGAAAAGTGCACTTTAAAATGTAACTATTAGTTCTTTTAAGTGGTGCTTTTTGTGTTCAGTTTGTTCAATAAAATAATATTTGAAATGATTTTAATTTCTGTGTATTTTTAGCAACTAAAATCATTACACATACATAACGATATCTCATGTCCCATATTTTCCTCATATCGTGCAGCCCTAATGTAGTCTGAAAACTAAACTTGTCTACTCCCAATCAACCTGGCTTTAAAACAAAATGTCTTCTTTTTATTTAAGATTTGATAAACACGCCTCTTATGTAAACCTTATGTTGTCCCTTTCTTTGTATATTGACCATCTTTAATCTATTAATAGAAGCTACAAACCAGTTTTTTTCACCACCCATATTGTTGTCAATATTAAATTAATTTACACCATGAAATGACACTTAACAAAACAAAGATTAATAAACTTTAAATTAAATAAAACCTCAGATTCTTTAACAGCTATAGATACAATAATCCTCCTTTTCCAACCTGACTGACTCTTTCTTTCTTTTTTTTTTTTTTAATCCCACAGCCCTTGAAGAAGAAGTCGGCTAAGCAGCAGGAGCGCCCGAGGTTCTGGAAATTCTGAACTACTGAACTGTGACGTCACTCGCGATCATTAAAACAAGCACGATACCAGAACTAAACTAATCTAACCAGGACTCTGGACTGTTGCCAAAAAAAAGAGAGGGGGAGGCTTGTGTGTGTTTATGTTTGTACTGTATGTACGTGAGACGAGAGGGGTACATGAGCAAACCTCCTCACCTCCCCCCGTACCTCCCTGACCCCACCCCCCTTCCCCCCCAGGAGCCACTGATATAAAAGGCTCTGTCCTTCCCTACTCCCTCGGAGAGAGAACAAAACAAGGTGACGGCAGGATGTCACAAAGAATTTCAGGCCTTTTCAAATGCATTTTGCTAAAAAAAAAAAAAAAAGAAAGAAAGAAAGAGGGAAAGAAAGGTAGGGGATTATCTGACATCGAGGGATAAAATCTCTCTCCTTTAAAGAGTGACTGATTTAGATTTGCATGGAAGTTTGAGAGGACATTAAAATGAAAAATACTGACAAAACAAAAGGAAATTAAATGCGCATGAAAGGTGGGAGCAGGAAAGAGAGCAGGAGAGACTGTTACAAATTCCACAGGATGTATATACAATGCAAGGGGACTACATAGTATACAGCTAATGACTTTCTCATATGTTGCAGTTGCATAGGCTAGCATTTGATATTATGGAATACACAGTACATATGGGCTATTGTTGTGGCTAACAGACCTTTAAAGCACCCCCCTGGGCACCAGTCGAAGCATTTTCTCATGTAGCCTGAATCCCTGATATGTTGGCCAACTGTATGAAGCACCGTGTGCAGAAGTTGTCTTGACATAACACACTCAAGAGCTCTGAGAGCTATCATGTGGCTAACAGAAAAGAAAAGGGCACCCTCATTTGCAAGAGTAACGTGACATTCTGCCCACTTTAACACTGACATATAAAAACCTAATACATATCTGTGAAATTTAGCAGAAGGGTTTGTGCCACTGTCTCTGGTATTCTCTAGGTAGTTAGGAGGATTTTAACTTTTGAAGTGCATTATTAATGTGAATTGACTGTACTGTTTAACTGCCACCCATTCCAAAAATACACAGCTTCCACGACTTCTGCCTTGTTCCTTTATAAAGGCTCACACACAACCAGTGGTCATTAGACATTGCCATAGCATTGTCTTGGCAATGTGTTCATAGTACTTCTATTAATAGTTAGATTACCAGAACAGTCATCCGGTCTTTAAATTTGAGCTAACCCCAGATTGTGTGCACAGGATGACATTTTATAGTTGCACTTAGTTTTTAGTGCACAGTGTTAGGCGGTAATGCCCTGTTTTGTTATTTTTGCAACTGTAAGTGTGCTAAATGGGTGTACAAATAATGAAGTCTCAGCTTAGCTCTGCTTGCTTTACAAACTCGTTTAATATGTGCACTGAATGAGTGGTGTAATGTTTAATGAATAGGCTTTAGACACTGCAAATGTTTGCAACGACACGTCTTTTGTTTCCTCTCCTCTGCTTTGCCGCATATTATCAGTTCTAGGTCTTTAATTTGTGCCATCTGATTTGTTTGAACCCTTTTATTTAATTGCGGTGTTTTTGTTCATACTGTTTCAATAAAAAACTGAAAACACTCTGAAAGCTCCCTTTTGTCTTTTGTGCATGAAAACGTCCCTCAATAGCTTTTTGAAACATCCGTTTATTATCCTAGCCATTTCCTGTCAATTAGATTACATAGTTACCGTGACAACGCCTAAAAGTCAACACATTCTTAAGCAGCACTGTATTCAATCTCGAGTCAGGGCAAAATACTTGTGACAGTTAAAATCTCATGACACTTATTTCCTATTTGCAAGTGCAATTCACACACATCATTACCAAGCATCTAGTCCACTCTGATTGGCCAGTTCAAGTAATGCCTCGAATTAAAAAACAGAACACCCCCTTTCAGCAGGCAGGCAAACAGCACCAAATATGGAGCAACATATGGCCTCGGACCGTTGAGTCGGTTGAACCCTCTGACAGTTAGGTGTGTTTTTTATGTCATGTTGTGGACTTTTTCATACGGTGCTGTTAAGCTGAGGCAAGGCTCCAACAGTAGGCTGCGAGTCGCACAGAGATGCTCTGTGTCTGGTTCCCTCTCCTCCATGTGGTTTTAGGCAGCTGCCCAATGCCCACCACCCCAGCCTCTGCCCCACCGGCGAGCTTCATAACTCTCTTTAGCTCACTCTCTCGCCTCAGACTGCTGGGAACAATGGAGTCTTTTGAGAGGGGCAGATGGAGAGGCTATGGGCCGTGGCTGTGAAGCTGCTCGCCAGCAGCTCCCTCTCTCCCCTTCAGCAAGGGGGGAATTCTGTGCATCGCTACAGGGTGGAGTCACTTCCTGGGTGGGCCCTGCATCGATCATGTGCATTAACACACAGGCACACTCTTAGAAAATACTCTGACAGAAAGCTAAATCACTGTGTACCCTTTGTGCAGATGAACACATGTTAAACCTATCATAACAGCCACGTTCCAGCAGCATGTCCCAGCAGAGGCAGCTATTAAGACACACCATAAAAGTGTGTGATTCACTGAGAGAGTCTTGGTCAGATTCATGACATACGCACACAGGTCTATGTCTCATATTTAATTATCAGACACAAAACCGCCTGCTTATGTGGTGTGCAGGCATAAATATGAGCTGAGTGTGTGGAAGCTCTGCATATTCACATGTTTGTGTGGTACACCATGTGCTTATTGGGTTGTACATGTTCTGTACTGTACAGGTAAATACGTTCACAATATGTGAGCCTATATTTATATATGTAAAAAAAGAAAGATTAATGGGTTTATCAGAATTTACTCACAAGTTTCCTTCCCCTTTCCTGTGCTTGTCTAGAGGTGACTGAAAAACTGTCTGAGAGGAAGGAAGAAACTGTTCAGCTCTAGCAGACAGATGGATGAGGAAATATCTTTCCCTCCAAATAAAACCACACCGGTGTATTTAGGAATGTGTGTTTACGTGTATTTTCTCTCTGTGCAGTGGCAACCAGAAATACCAGGTCACTTATAGCTGACTATGAGCTGCCTATTTGTGATATATTCCACACAGAAGAAACCTGTGGTCGGAACTGGGCATCATTTTTATTAGTAGGAAAACTGTTGGTGCCCACTCAGCAAATTATAATCCTAACTGTGTAAAGAAAGCACAGATTATTTAACAATAGAGGAATGAGGTTTTCCTGAATACAGGGCTTAAAATAAACACCAGGCATCAGGCTAATTCTCTTACATTTGTTTTTGGCAGGTGAGGCTGTCTGTCCTAAAAGCTGTTTTGTCTTTTAGCCTATCTGGGCTATGCAGAAAATAGTTAAAATTGAGAAATAAATAAGTTAAAATTAACTATAAATCTTCACTGTTGATCACATTAGATGTTTACGTAGTCTCTTTAATTTTAACAGTGATTTTTTTTTTCAGTAGGAAGATCCAGCAAGGAAAGGATATAGAACAAGTCATGCTGTACCTGAGGAATTAGTAAAACAGATATTTCAGACTTACAAAATGTGATACTGCACCTCATCCCAGAAAGAAATAAAAGTAAGCCAATAAATGATTTAGTACAAAGTGTAAGTGCAGTTTTAGTAATGTTTGTACTTTTTAATTTTTTTTAGAAAACACATAATCTCCATATCAAGGGTTAACTGACTCTAGTCGTAACTTACATCACAGGTGTAAATGTGAGCATGAATGGTTGTGTGTCTCTATGTGTCAGGCCTGTGATAGTCGGGGGTGATCTGTTTAGGGTGTACCTGCCTCTTGCCCAATGTCCTGCTGGGATCAGCTGCAGCCCCACTGTGAACCTGTCAAGGAGAGGCAGTTACAGATAATGAATAGATGGATGGATCATGGGTGTAGTGGGGTGGGGAGACACAGGAGACATGTCCCCCTTAATATTTAGAACATGTGTATTCATCCCCCAAATAAAAAAAAATTCACCATGTCAATGAAGTGTTTAATGCTCCCCCAAACCCCCCTGTTTTATATGGGTTCCCCCCAGTCTTAAAACAAAACCCTTCGCCCTTGACTTACATTATATAAACTAGAAATAAAACACTGGTTGATAGCAGTGAAGTGTTACACTGGTTCTAGTTCTCCTTGATGTTAAGTGGCTGAAATCTCATAACACTAGTAGTTAACATGGATAAAAGAACAATTTCAATTGTTCTTTTATCCATTGTAGTGATCTTATCTATTCTGCACAACAAATAATGCCTTTTAAGCAAACATCTGGGCAACTTTTTGGTAAGCTTGCCTTAACACATCGAGCATGCACAACTGCATCGATCCAGTTTGTGACATAGAATGTCCTGTATTTGAAAATTAACATTTTTCCCAAATTGAGAAATTAAACCCACATGTGGTAACTTTTATGAAAATAACTTTGCGTCCTTTTTGCTAAAAATGTCACTATATTCCGACAGAAGTAAGTGATATGGATAATTTCTGAAAAAAATTATGTCCCTCCCCCTCGTCCAACTGCCTCCAATGGAATTTGCTTTAATCAGACCACTGTTGAATGAAAACAACCAATCAGAGCCGAGGAGTCTCTAAAGCAACTGTCATTCATGTCAGTTGAGGCTTGTGAACTGTGGTCAAACTGTCAAACTAGCACTGATCAATTATAAATCTATATGCTACTGCATTGCCTATTTCTCACCTCTTATGTTTAAGAAACATATTTTAGGCCATGTTTACACGAAAACGATCCACTGAAAGCAGAATCGTTTCTCATTTTCGTTTTGAAAAAAGTTCAGCGTTTAGACGACAACGTTTTGATAACAATCGCTGTACGTATCCGCAAAAATGACCAAAAACACTGCAGTATACATGCCAGGCCAGTAGTTGGCGATGTGACGCTTACGCTTCCTTCTACAGAGTGGCGTTGTCTGGACGGACGACGAGGTGGAGTTGCTCTACACTATGATGGGGAAGCGTTGATAAATTCAACAGGGTGAGCAGCACAAGCAGAGCTCGGGAGTCCGCCATTATTGTTGTGATAGTTGACTTTCTCACGCATGCCTAGTGACTGGAAGCGTAATACGCATGTGCGAAAAGTCTCTGTTTTTAGAGGAACTGCATATTGCAAGTTTACATGACAATGGAGAAGGTGCCATTTCCAAAAAATTGCACTCTGGAACCCATTTTCAAAACGTTGCATTTTCAGGCACCCAAAATGCCGCTGTCGTGTAAACAATCGGCCAAAACCCAACTAAAGCTTACCGTTTTCAGTTGAAATCGTTGTCGTATAAACGGGACCTTAGTGTACTGTTTAACTGTAAAATGAGAACGTTTATGACCCAGCTGCCATTCTGTAATTGGCTAAACTCTAAAATATGTTTCTGAAATCATTTGAGATGAGACATAGGCAATGCAGTAACAACATTTTTATTCAAAACGATCAGTGCTGACTAGTTTGACAGTTTGACCATAGCTCACGAGCAGCAATTGACATGACTTCTCGGCTCTGATTGGTTGCTGCTAGAAGCAATACAAGTCAACATTAGGCAGAGGAATATGTTATTGTTTTTTTAACAGATTATCTGTCTCATTTAGTGCTGTGTGGATTTAGTGACGGTCTCGTCTCGTCTCGTCTCGTCGTCCTCTGCTTATCTGGGTCCGGGTCGCAGGGGCAGCAGCCTCAGCAAAGAAGCCCAGACAGTCCTCTCCCCAGCCACCTCCGTCAGCTCTTCCGAGGGAACCCCGAGGCATTCCCAGGCCAGCCGGGCGATGTAATCCCTCCAGCATGTCCTGGGGCGGCCCCGAGGTCTCCTCCCGGTTGGACATGCCCGAAATACCTCCCAAGGGAGGCGTCCGTGAGGCATCCTTACCAGATGCCCGAACCACCTCAACTGGCTCCTCTCGATGTGGAGGAGCAGCGGCTCTACTCCGAGTCCCTCCCGGATGTCCAAGCTCCTCACCCTATCTCTAAGGCTGAGCCCAGCCACCCTGCGGAGGAAACTCATTTCGGCCGCTTGTACTCGCGATCTCGTTCTTTCGGTCACTACCCAAAGCTCGTGACCATAGGTGAGGGTTGGAACGTAGATCGACCGGTAAATCGAGAGCTTCGCTTTCTGGCTAAGCTCCCTTTTCACCACAA